TTTTTTTGGCTTTTAGGGTCACTCAAAAATGTACGCTGATAGGCTTCGGAAAATCCCCAAAGATGCGGATCCATGGAAATATTGATTTCACAGATTACACTTTGGAATAGATTTAGTGTATAAGCTAAGAATAAACATTTAGAAAGGACTTTCCAGTTCTTTTTTTGCTTCGTGCTGATAAATCACATTACTGTTTTATTCTGTAAAATATGATATGCTGGAATTATCGATCGTTATATTGCCAAAGTGACATTTATTGTAGCTTTGTTATTGTGATGCTGATGAACCGCAGTCTTCCTATTGGCGATGATTCCAGCAATTCAAATGATGATGAAATGGGAGAAGAGGTGTGTTGCTAATAGTGGTTATTGCATATTGGGCATAGCATTGTTATACTTAAGGTATCCTCGAGCCGTGGCCTGTCAGAGGACAGTTGGGGAAGTGACGGAATGAAGCCGGCAACCACGTTCGAGGTTAGTTTTTTCGTATAATAGTGAGGTTGAATGGATTTGATGAGTTTCAGGAGGATGAGCGTTTAGCTAGGGAACGACTTATTAATCTATATCCACGTGCGGAATATAGGGTAGGTCGTAACTTACTAATCAACCTTTTTTGCGTCTATGGTCCGTCTAGCCGTTCCTTTTCTTTTATGCAAAAATTCTATATATCTGTAGTATCTTCTTTCAAAAGTTTCATCCTATATATTTCTTCTGTTCTACTGTTGACAAAATTGGCGGATTTGATTAGCAAGCTGAGCAATAAAGATAATAGGTAAAATAAGTAGCTAGAATTCAATTCACAGGAATTAGTGAATTAAAACTTCAGAGATATTTTTGGTTCATCTCAAAAATTCGTTTGTTTGCAACTTGTGCATTTAGCGTTTGCCACGGGCTTGGAATAAAAACGATAAATATCACTTCTTGGACATCTCACACAGCTCACTGCGCGTGAGCTACAAAGGTCAGTATCTTAGTTTTTTATAATGATTTTGAAATATGGTTTAATGTAAAGGATGGCGGTTATTCTGTGCGTTGAATTTGTAGTCCTGCGTATCTATAAATCAAGATTTTGTACCTTTCGTTTATTTTGCTTTTGTTTTTGTTTGGAGCTGGAAACATAGGAGAATTGCCTTCAGACGTCTCAAACAACGCTTAGTTTTGATTTTGTTTGCCATTGTTGAAAGTTGTTTTCTGCTGTACTTTGATCCTATAAGAAACCAATATAGGACTATTTGAGTTTCTATCTCTCTGTCTGAGCTGTAGATTAAATTTTTCATGTTTAGGAGTTGTGCATATATCATATATTAAGGTAATGGAAAACAACAACAAAAAGATGCAGCATCAACTCGTGCAGATTATCCAATTCCTCCTCAGTGTGGCGTTTATTATTTTGAGGTTTGTTTTATTCGGGCGACTAATCCTAACTATCTCTGCATTTATGTCCTTGTAGATCACCATTGTTCGCGGCCTGAAAGGATGCATGGGTGTTGGAGTTTGTGGAAAGTCCGTGAATTTGAACAGATTACCTGGTAAGTGGTATTGATTTAGGCTCAATGAGTTTTTAAGAATTATGACAATGCAGGCTGGGATCGATATTCATATGGTTATCATGGCGATGATGGCAATTTCTTTTCATTCTCTGGAAATGGTGTATCATATGGGCCGAAATTCACGACTGGCGATGTAGTTGGATGTGGCGTGAATTTGGTGAACAAAACGATATTTTTTACGAAAAACGGGGTGCATTTGGGTGAGTTTTCCTGAATACTTTAACTATTTTTACATCTTTCTACTTATTGTGAGTAAATTGAAGGAGATCATAAAACTTAGAAAATGCTCAAGAAGAAAATTATATCTGGAGACAATGTGCTATTATTTTAACCTTCAGGCATAGCTTCTCGAGAGCTGGAACATATTGACGATCTTTATCCTACCATTGGTTTGCAAACCACTGGTGAGGTTATAGATGCGAATTTTGGCCAGCGACCTTTCCGCTTTGATATTCGCCCTGAGATGGAGGTGCGTTCGTGTCTTGCGACAAACTGAAGATAAACGGGTCTCTAACGATTCGCAACATTAAGGCAGCCAGAGCTAAAGTTTGCGGCGAAATCCTCGCTGTGCAGCTACCGTCTGAGAAAACTGATTGGATGAACAAGTGAGTTGCTTTTCGCCCAACTTTGAACTCAGTCTAGATGTTCTTGAAGGCTCGTATCATCTTGGATGGCTTGCGAAGGCCACAGCAAATCAATGGCATCTTTTTGTAATGCCGCGAAGTTAGTGCCTGAAGAAGGCGAACAGAGTATAGAGACGAGGAAAGGCTAGTTTAATATAAACTTATAGGGCAATCTTCTAACTGTTTTTTCCTTTTTTATGAAGGTTTTCTGATGTTCATCTTTAGAAATAATTGCTCTTGTGTTGTCAAGACGTAGTGCTGAAGCCATATCGCGTATGGAGGACGCTTATCCTGATATTTTTGTACTGAATAAAAATATCGCTCTTGTCCTCAAATGCCAGCAATTCGTAGAAATGGCTGCTGAAATTGCAAAACAGGTGACTTTTGCTCCATTAACATGTATTTTATTGTTCAAGCTGATTATATAGGATGCGCTTGCAAAGCCTGTGACGATTTCGAGCTCAAATGGTCAGTCTTTACCGTCTGCAATCGTTAGTCCAAGATGTAAGCGGTATCTTGAAAATTTGACTGTACTTAGCCTATGCCATAAACTTTCAGCAGCGCTTAACTATCCAGCTAATCCACACAAACGCACATACGGTAAGTACGGTAAGTGTCGACCACTGTGGACGGATATTGTCTTCCATATAAAATGTAGTGTAACTAATGACTTCAGTAGATTCACAAGCAGAGGATATTGAGGCACCACCAGCTAGACGTACGCCACCATTTGCTGACGAAGATATGTCTGTGTAAGTGTTATCACCTCAATGATTTTTATCAGAACCTTCATGCCTTTTCTCAGCATGTTTGAGTATTACCTATCTACTTGTAGCATTCAT